TACCTCTCAATGCTGCTGAAGGTATACTGAGTGCCCTGCTTGGTCTCGATCTCAAAGTCGAAGGAACGAGTGGTTGTGGTACCGCGGGCAAAGTTGACGAAAGAGATCTCATCAAAGCGGATGTGCACAGGAGGCTTGTGCACATAGATGAAGCCCCGCTCCAGCGGGTACAGGAGTCCTGAGCTGGCCTTGTAGGAGCAGCTGATACACTGGGCCCCTGAGTGCCTGATGGAGGATGCAGGGAGCCTGCTCGGCACCGACCACAGCCGAGCCAAAGGGCACATGTGGCAGTAGCAACACGAATGCCCGGGCCCTCAGAAGTCACTCCCACTAAGCTGCTTTGACAGGGGTGCTGACAATTACAACAAGAAGTACACCCAGGCTTCAACTCGAGGGGACCCATCACAGGAAAGGTTTCATTACTAAGGCGACAGAACATTTCCCATCCCAGCCCACCTCCATCCTCAGCAGGTCAGGACTTCAACCCATACTCTTACCCTTGGAAATTGCCCGGGACTGTGATTTTACGGTTTACAAGAGCTTTCATGACCCGGCTGACCATCTCATAGAGAGATCCTGACATGTTCTTGGTAAGCCGCCCCTCAAAGCGCTTCTCCACTTCTTCCCTATAAACAAAGCAAGACAAGGTCCAATGGCAGGCCTGCTCTCTTCCTGGACAGTGGAAAGGTCCAATGGCAGGCCTGCTCTCTTCCTGGACAGTGGCAAGAAACAAGTTCACTGAGATACTTACTCATTCATGTTGAGAGTCAAGGAGATGTCCTCATCCTTGGAGAAGAGGAGGATCAGGAAGTGGTAACGGGTTTGGCCCTGCTTGATGGGGGGATCCAGGCTGATCTGGTAAGGACAGTGGACAAGACTGTTGAGACCCAGATAACTAAACAATACAGAACTCTAGGCATCAGTAACCTCTATCTCCTAAAGACTTAGGCAAAAACCAGGCACCCCAGGATTTTGCTCACCACAAAGAACATCTGTCTTTGATCTTTGTGGGGCAGCAGGAAGAGACGGAGAACTGTAGTATAGGGGATCTTGTAGTCAAAGGTCTTGCCATGTAGGTGTAGAAAGGTAGGGTAGATCCGGATATCATAGCGACCACGAGGAGTCAAACACTGCAGCTCCCGGAAGATGCAGATGGCATCTCCAGTGGCCTGGATCACATCTGCCTTTGAAAGAACGTTCTGGGCAAAGGCCTGCAAACACACATGGGTAATCAAATAGCCAGCCTTTGCTCCCAGGCCAGCCAGCCAAAGTCTACTCAGCCATATCCAGCAGCCCAACAAGCAGAAACCTCACCTCTACAGGGTCCACACCATCTTCCTGGGTGGGAGGGACATAAAAGCGCACCTCCATGAGAGACACTTCGGCATCATCATTCTGGTGGAATTCCAGGGTCACCTCATTCTTGCCTGTTGTACACTGGGACACATTGCTTAGGGGTATTTCAAAGACTGGCTGATCACCAATGTCAAAAGAAAGCAGCTGTCCTGTGAGGAAAGAACTATTCAAGCCACGCATTCCCACCAGCTCTGAGTTCCGTGAGGATAGAGGACCAGGGGAACTTTGTTCACACCGCACCACGAGCACGCACGGTGCCTAAAACACTATACATGCTCGACAAATACATGCTAAACACTGGGAATTAGAAATTAGATCAGAGTTAAGCAAGGTAACATCTGAAGCCCTTCAGCCCACCTTCTCCCCAAACCTCAGTCTTCCTCACTCACCACCGAACTTCACTGTTCCCCAGTTCCAGCCCTTCACACACAGATCCTTCTCCATTAGCTCAAGACGATAGTGAGTTTTGAAGAAATCCGAGAGTTTCTCAAACTCCTGTAAGTTGTAAGGAGAAGAAAGTGCAATCCTAGTAAACTCTCTGGATCTGAACACAATTTCAAAGTCCCGAGACTCTCTAGCTCAGAAAAAGTTCAGCAATACATCCTTTATCAGACGCCACAGCTAACTTAGGACATCAACTGGGAAACTGTTTAAAAACAATTTTTAAAAACAATTTTACTGTTACTAGAAGCTGTTTCTGGGACCCAGATGCCCTCAGTCACGCTCTCACAGATGTCCTTCTTCCAAGCCTCTTTCCTTCTCTTAACCATTTTTGTTTGTTTTTGTTTTTCCGAGACAGGGTATCTCTGTGCAACAGCCCTGACTGTCCTGGAACTCACTCTGTAGACCAGGCTGGCCTCGAACTCAGAGATCCTCCTGGAGTGCTGGAATTAAAGGCGTGTGCCGCCATCGCCCAGCTTCCTTCTCTTAACGTTTATGCTTAAAACCTTTTTGATTTATTTGGTTTTTCCAGACAGGGTTTCTCTGTGTAACAGATCTGGCTGTCCTAGAACTCACTCTGTAGACCAGGCTGGCCTAGAACTCACAGAGATCTGCCTGCCTCTGCCTCCCAAGTGCTGGGATTAAAAGTGTGAGCCACCACCACCCAGGCTGCTTAAAACAGTGCTGGAGACATGATGGCTCAGTGGTGAAGAGTACCTGTCCTTGCAAAGGACTTGGGTTCGATTCCCAGCACCCATATGGTGGTGGCTCACAACTGTCTGTAACTCCAATTCCAGGTGATCCAATGCCTTCTTCTCTGAGCTTTGAGGGCACCAGGCATACACATGGTGCATAGGCGTACATGCTTAGCAAAGCCTCATATACATAAAATTAGTTTTTGTGGGGTTTTTTTGTTTTGTTATTTGTTTTTTGGTTTTTTTCAAGACAGGGTTTATCTGTTTAGCCCTGGCTGTCCTGGAATTCGCTCTTAGACTAGGCTGGCCTCAATCCCCCTGCCTTTGCCTCCAGAGTGCTGGGGTTAAAGGCATGTACCAACACCACCCAGCAAAATAAATAATTATATATACACATAGCCCTCCCCCCTAAAAAAAACCCAGGCTAGCCGGGTGGCAGTGGCGCACACCTTTAATCCCAGCACTCGGGAGGCAGAGCCAGGCGGATCTCTGTGAGTTCAAGGCCAGTCTGGTCTACAGAGCAAGATCCAGGACAGGTACCAAAACAACACAGAGAAACCCTGTCTTGAAAAATAAAAAAAATAAAAATGAAAAAATAAAAACCCAGGCTAGGAGAGGAATAAAGGAGCTTCCATTCCCAGATGTATGTATCACACCTTACTGAGTTTTTAAGCTTTGTGTAGATATTCTTTTGATGAAAGTGGATATTAAAACCAAATAACTCAAGCAGTTCAAAAATGGAAGGAAAAAAAAAAAATCCTAGAGCACCAAGCTAAGATTCTGAAGCACGAGAGAAGGAGCAAGTGGAAACCATTACCTAAATTAAGATGTTAGAAAACCTGGAGTCCAGGTACAAAGAAATTCACAAGACATGGGCACTGAAAAACGGAACACTAGTTTCTCGTTCAATCGTCTCCAGCAGCTCTGCTCTGAGCAGCCCAAATGAGCAACGACATGATTATCAGAACACCAACTGTCTCTAGAAGATTACAAATAACCAAGACAGGGCAGTTACAAAAGGAGAGGGTCACAGCAGCAGGATCTCTCACCGATTCTCGGAAGCCATCATACTTGTAGACATGGCCATTCTTTGTGAGCAGTTTAAGTCCGTGGCCCAATGCTACCCGGCGCCAGATGCCTTCTGTCAACTCCCCGGCCTGGATATTGTCCACTTTGCCGGTCTTGCTGTTCTTAAAGATGATTCCCTGGCGGCTCAATCGTAGCCTCCCATCATTCTGCCCAAAATACAGACCCAGATTCAGAGCAGGATACAGTGTGTTAACAGGTTCACTTTACCCCTCACCCGTGTGGTGCTGCATGCTGGCCAGATTATCAACGGAAAAGCAACAGGTCAAGCGGTAAGATCAAGGCAAAAGACACAAGAGGCACCAACTCTAGACTGCAAGCTTGACTCTGGCACCCAGAGCCCTGTAAGGGCCCCAGTTTCCTGGTTTTTAACCCAGGAGTTTAGGACAGAACTGCACATGCAATCTCTTCAAACTCAAGATCACAACTCGAGACTCTGCTGCTACTTTTGCTTGGGGAAACACCAGATACACTATTTCCAAAGTAGCAGTCAGCTGAGCTTTGTTAATGGACACGAACTCTTCCCAATCTCTGCCTTTGTTAAAAGCCCAAGCCATTCTCACCATGGACCCTTTCACCTCCTGGAAGATGTCGTTGAACTCCAGTGTCTCTGCCATATTCACTTGCCCGTGGTGGCCTGAGCACAGAGCCCTAGGCTGCACCAGAGAAACGAGCCCTTTTCTGGGAGCTGTGCCCCAATTCCTGGTTAGGTGTGCAGATGTTCAGCGGGGTGGGAATCTGAATTCGGGAAGGAGATTGATAAGCAAGTAAAGACGCCACCTTACTTGGCTCACCCATGGGTAGTTGTGCCTGGATTGGATTGTCTCAAGTTCTCCACGCCTGGGAACTTACAGACGGGCTCTGAAGCGTTCCTGAGGCCAATTACAAGGCCCAGGACCCTAGGTGCAGAACGAGGCCTATAGTGGCGTTTACACCCCAACCCGACACCCTCTCGGGACGTTCCACCGACAAGCAAGGCAACTATCGGCGGAACCCCAGGACCTGCTGAGAGAGCGCACCTCAACTCCGCTCAGAGAGTAGTGTCCGGATCCCAGCGAACCCACCACCCCGAGGCCCCCTGGACCCACGTTTCTCCCCCTCCTTTTAATATGGATTCGCCCACTTCCCGCGAATTTGAACGCGGAACGATCCATCTCGAGCGACCCGCGGGGGGAGCGGGGCCCATGCACACCCGGGACCCGGGGATCGCGACCACCCACCTCTTCGAGCTGCAGCCTCGCGACGGCACAGGGCGGGCGGTGGGCGCAGGGGGACGCGGGGGAGGAGGTAGGGGTGCGGGGGAGGGGACGCTGGGGAAGGTTTTCCCGCGTGCGCGGTCCCGCGTCCCGCCACCGGAAGTCGCTCACAGACCATAGAGAGGAAGACCTGGCTAGAAAGACACCAGCCGGGAGGACCAACGGGACCGTCGCCTAGAGCGTCGGTACCCCCAGGCACCCTAAGCTAGTAAAGCGAGGGTCTTGCTGTGGAATCCCACGCGGCTGGATTCCTAACTAGGAAATGGGAGCTCTCCTTAGAAAGTTACAAGCCGCTCTTCAAAGCGTAGATTCCGAAGAGAAATTATGCAGTTTTGTCAGGCTTTCAGGTTTGTTTGTGTGTTGGAATCGTTCATGTCCCTCCCTCCTGTAAAATAGTCTGGGAAGGAGTCTGTCGAGCAAGAAAAATACAGAGCTGGGGCCAGAATTGATGCCCCCACTAGCTGTAAAGGGAATGCGGGTGTCGGTGACTGCCTGCTTACCCACTGTACCCTGGCAAAGTGTTTCGGATCCTTTCTGCAATGAGTTCACCGTCCACCCCCAACACCATCCCATCCATATCCCTAATTTGTGGGTTCTCGGGAAGAGCCTGGCAGATGGCCGCATTAAGTTCAAGTGCTGGTGTCAGATTTACCTTTGAGCTAGGACTTACTTGAAACCACATCAGCCTGAGTTGGCAGAACCCGGATGGCCTCACATAGCACGGGGGTGCATCTTGCAAAATCTGAAGCCCAGGTCTGAAAGAGATGCTTGATTTATCTCGCCCTGTAAAATGGGGGTTTTACAGATGAGAAAAGTGAGACCCACGAAAGATTTGCCCAGGGTGTCAGTGCATTGTCATCAAAGCTGGAGCCTAGAACTCAGATTCCTTAACATCAGCCTTTTATCATAATCATGAGAATCCAACTTTTAAAGTCATTGCTAGCATGTGCATAAAGGCAGGATGTTTAAACTCCCGGTTTTCCTGACAGTTGTCGCGCTGACTTGCTAACTTGGTCCTGGGATATGAGATAGTCGAAATGCATTCTTGCCATCTAGAATTTGTGACTTTAACTGTTAAATACTGCTATTGCTAGCACTATTTAGCTAAGTCAAATGGCTTAAGACATAATGAGAACCTATTGTTAATGCAGCACTTTACTAAGATTGGAGGAAACTGTTGAAGATGGTTAAAACAGCCCCAACCTTTTAGGAGCACATACCCTAACAAAAGATTCGAGTAACCTGGGGATAAAAAGGAAAATTCGACAATGTCTGTGCAACCAGAAGAGTTTCAACCACTGCTGCCAACTGGAGTTAGAAATAAGTGACTTTCCCCATTGTAGTGGTACAAATCTGTAATCACAACACTGGCGACTGAGGCAGGAGGACTGTGAGTTTGAAACATAACAACACAGCAAGTGAGACCAGTTAGGGAACATAATGAGATTCTGGAGGGCAGGGGGAGGGGGAATGGTAGGAAATATGTGAGTGACTCTTCCTCCCAGGAGACCCAAGAACCCTTTCTCCCCCATTTGTGCTATTAGGTAGAAGTCGGCAGACACACAGAATTGGAGTTCTTGGCTCAGGCAGATCAGCTAACTCAGGAATGGACCCTTACAAGGGGCTTTGGAGACTGACTACGGAGCGGCTGGTGAGCTGTGGGAGAGACACCGCATAAGAGAACAGAATAGAAACAGTAGACAGAGAGCAGATAAAACATGAGTCCCAGAGGGCCCGAGCCAGCTGCATCCCAGGCAATCTGGAGCCCGGGATTGGAGACCCCACCCCTGCCGTGACATCACAGGGGTGTGGAGTGAAGACAAATAAAAAGGTGGTCCGCCGCCCTGGCCCTAGACCGTTGGCAGCCAGAGTGTCAAGAGGAGAGAGAGAGACTAGGCACTGACTACAGTTGCCTGGCTTACAGGAACTAGCTCTATTCCTCAAGTCCCACTAAGCGGCCCACTCCGGGCCTTGATCTCTTTCTCCCCGAGGTCGTCTCCCTGGGCTGCCCTTCTGAGTGGCAGTGAGCACTTTCTCAGTATGAACTGTATATCAGACTTCTTCACCTACGAGACTACCAAGTCGGTGGTTGTGAAGAGCTGGACCATTGGGATCATCAACCGAGCCGTCCAGCTGCTGATTATCTCCTACTTTGTGGGGTGAGTCCTTCAGGTCCCGGGACAGGAGGGCTACCTGATGTCCTTCCCTCCCTCTCCCAAGACTGCTCTGCAGCTTCCAGGGCTTCCCCTGTGGGAAGCACTTTGATCTGTGAGAGCCATGTCCTGGGGATTCGTCTCAGCCACTCCCATCCAGTCCTGTCTTCAGGTGGATGATTTTACCCAGTAACTCTTCCAGGGCTGGACAATGATTCTAGACACATGCTCCAAGGATAGGTGCATTCCCTGGGCAGGAAAGGACCCATATGGTCCTTCCCAAACTAAAAAAAAAAAGGGGGGGGAGACCCCTCCCCACACTTTTCCATTCCCCTCAATGGAGTCTTTGGAGTCTCAGATACAGGAGCACAGGAAGGAGGTACTGAAACTAGGGAGATGGACTGATGTTGTGTGGAAGAAGAACCAGCTGGGGAGAAAAGAGGAGTGAGTGCTGGGTTTAATATAGAGTTAGGAATTCCTTCCTGCCATGGGCTAGATGGGGAGAGGTTAGAAAGGCAAGAAGAGACCCTTGTTCTTGGAGAGTAGAACAAAGGAAGGAACTGCCCCTCCAGGTAGAGAGAGGCACGGGCACAGATACATTCACAGAGTTGCCAAAGAGAAAAGTACCTTTTCTGCCTTAGTGTGGGGCTCTCCAACCAAGAATGCAAAAATGATACTCATTGTTAAAAAGCATAAATTCATTCCTCTACCACACACACACACACACACACACACACACACACACACACACACACACGGACTTGAGCAGATAATGGCTGGGAGGAAAACACAGGTCTGTCCTTCTTGTGGTCATTTCTACACACTGGTCGGCACCAGGAAACGCAGGCAGAAACCTCAAGGGTTTTCTTTCCTGGCTTTCAGGTCTGTGGTCGCTTTCTGTTCCTTGAGACAATGAGTCTGTTTATGAAAGACAGCAAGCCACTGACTAGGTCATGAGTTAATTCAGGCAAATCGAAGAATATATCCTGTGTGCATGTGGGCTAGAGCTGAAAGGTTGGAGTAATGTGGAGAGGTTGGGTGTGTGGAGAGATGGGCAGATGTGGTTTTTTAAAGTGATTTTTGTTTCATGGGTTTGATGAAAGCCAGTAAACTTTGGTGTTCCAGTGTATAACAAGGCCATATAGCCTTGTGAGGACATCAGAAGGAATACAGGCTATGGAGTAGGAGTAAATGGCCTTGAAACTACTTTCCAATGTTGTTTTGTGAAAGATGTTTAGAAATGTTCCATATTCCTGTCTCCAAAGTAAGGCTCAAAACTGGTTCCTTTTTGCTTGGCTAGTTTGTTTGGTTTTGGTTTTTTAAGACAGAGTCTTATGTATCCCAGACTGGCCTTAACTTACTATATAGGTGAAGATGACCTTGAATTCTTAATTCTCCTAGTGCTGGAATTATAAGTGTGGGCCTGCACATTCAGTTTATATGGGCAGGTTGAACACAAGGCTTTGTGCATAGTACGTCATTACTCTACCAACTGAGCTACATCCTCAGCCTCAGTTAGTTCTTCAGCCTTCTGTGTTCACATATATATTCAGTGCCTTAATTGTTGATAGTCACGGGATGGCATATTGGTCCAAATGAGTACAGAAGCTTTTTCAGCACATTCCTAACCTGGCCTGGCTCTCCTGGCTCCAGGCAGGACATTGATGGAAGACAGAGACAGCCGTCTCCTGGACTAGCCCCCTTAGCCCTGCACTGCCCTTGGCTGCCCCTCATCAGAATCAGATTGAATCCTTCAGTGCTGGGGGCTTGAGTCCAGCTTGCTCAGGGGACCATGAGAGAGGCTCTTTGGCGTCTTGATACGCAACCCCATCCATCTGCCAGCCTGACAGCTCCCCGTGGAACAGTGCCTTGCAGTTACATCAGCACACTCGGCAGCCCAGCCCCCTGGCCCAAGCTGTTTATAGGAGCCTAAACACCACGTGACTTCATGAATCCACTGTGATTAATTTAGCAAAAGTGCATCAAGCATCTCTTCATGCCAGGCATTGTACACTGAGGGCAGAGCAGTGGACAGGAGCAGAGGGGGTCTTCATCCTGTAAGCATCACACCCGTGAATGTGGCAAGAAGTGGATATTAATCCAATGATCCCCACAAACAAATGCAAAGTTTTAACAGTGTCTACAATACGCGCAACACCAAAAGTGCTGCCCCTGTAGAGGCACTTGGCTTCGTCTGGAAACTGAGGGGGAGTTTTCTAGAGATGGCATGTTCAACCTAGGTTCTGAAGGATGGGTAGAAGCAACCAGATGAACAGAAGGATGGAAGAAGTCCCAAGGCAGAGAACCTACCTCTGTGAAAAGATCTTGGTCTATGGGAGGAAGAAAAGTTTATGGGAGTTGAGGCTAGAGTGTAGACAGACTCCTGGGAGCACAGAGGCCAGAGCTGGCATGCCCCGAGCCCCTTCGTTTTCACAGGAGAGGAAAGAATGACAGGGACGATACTGACACTCTCCAGCCCACACGTGTGGCTGAGACTGAGGAAGAGTGCTGTGGTGAGATCTGAGCTGCCGGGGTGTGCAGGGACTGAAAGGAGTAGAAGTGGGTGTGGGAGAGCCTAAAGGAGAGAGAGAGCACTTCGAAGACGCCATAGAATTGGGAAGGGTTTTCATTTTTTATATATTTTATTGTATTCGTTCTGTGCGGTAGTGGAGCATGGGCATGTGTAGGGGTCAGAGAACAACGGAGCTGGGGGGAGGGGGGGTATCCGTTCTCTCCTTCCACCGCGTAAGCTCCAAAGATAAAATTCAGGTCCTTAGACGTGACAACAGGTGCCTTCACGCCCTGAGCCAGCTCGCCCCCATCCCTTTAAAGGATGTAGAGTGACTACTGTGGCACTTAACCAGGGAGACAGGACACACAGCTTTACCTAGGAAGTGTGGAACATGAACTAAGCATTCACCTTATACACTCACAGCAACACACTCCCTAATCACCTGGTCTCTAGCCTCAGCCACCTGTTGTGGTTGACACCACTTCACCCAGAGTCCTTCACCCACCCTAGGTGGGTGATACCATGCTTTTGACTCCCAGGTGGCACCCAAGGCTCCTTGCCAGCACACTAGGTGACATGCTGGGAGGACCAGTTGGCATCCCTCATCCTCTAGGTACCAAGGGGAGTGACACCCATTGTTTGCCCGCTTTCTCCCTACACCACAGCCTCAGGATGAAGGGACTGCATGGTGTGACATCCCTGCTTTGACACAGGCCTGTGAGTCTCAGTCCCCAAGATCTAGGAAATGGGTGTAAGAGTGCCTCCTGTCCGGGAGTTCTGGGTCGAGAGATGACACATGCCGAGTGCCTGTCCCGAGACGGTGACTCAGTAGTATTAAGTTAAATGTGGTAACTGTTATCATTCCTGGACTGCCTGCTGTGCCTCCCTCTTTCCCTCTGCCCAGCTCACACCTTCCTAAAAAGACCCCTCTCCTCTGACACACACAGCTGCGCACACATCACACCTCCTCCCTGGCCTCCTCCTCCCTGACTCCCTGGGGTAGCCGGGAGGGTGCTGGGATGCTGCTTGGGCCTCTTTCCTGCACATCCCACCTGCCAAGGAGCTGCCACCGCCTTCCGCTCTATAAATAATAAACCAGAAAATGCAAGGGGGAAAAAAAAAGAAGTCGGAGCAGCAGAGTAAATGCCAAGAATCAGAGGCTCAGGCCTGCTGCATCTCCTAAGCCCTGGCCTCTAGAGACAGCCTCAGCCCCTCTGTTCTGGAAATGAAGCAACCCTTCACCTCCCATTGCTAGCTACCCTGATGACGTTCTCAGCCCCATGGGGCCACTGAAATTCTTCCATTTGTTAACTCAGAGAGAATTCTAATGTGGTCTCCTCTCCCTACTGGGCATACAAAGAGTCTTAAAGGAAGAGGAGGAGGAAAAGACTGGTTAATTTTTTCTCCATCCCAAGCCCCTTCCTCCTAAGACCTTCCTGAGCTAAGGGATGCTTTTCTGTCAGTGAAGCAGGGGTCTGACCTTGAGATATAGCTACAGACCCTACAGTGGTGTGGCTGGGAGTGGTCCAGAGCAGACTGCCATTTGGAACCCACTTCCCAGCCATGTGACTTTGGGCAAGTCAGCTTTTGTATTGTTTCTCCAACTGTGGCACAATGTTCATGATACAGCTGTCTTACAAAGGCTTTATGGACTGGGTCAGTGTCCATAGTGTCTGGGTCTTGGTAGGTGATATGACACTCTGAATGCTCTTTGCATCTACAAATGTGCCCTGACTTTAAGGACAGGGTACTGGCCTCAAAGAACCATTTCCTTAGCTCAACATCAAGAAGCACGTCAGTCCTGTGACAAGGCACCCTGGAGTTCCAGAAGTCTGTTTGGACTGTGCCTTACTCTGTGATGAGTGTTCAGCAGCAGCCACCATCTTAGCTGAATGAGAGTCAGGCCCCCAGACCTCATTCCCCATCATTCCAGAGGGCATAAGGCCATGAGCTAATGGTGCTCTTTCAGATAACTTCCTTGGATTCTGTAACAAGATGCTGCTGCCTTCATCTCTGTTAGAACATAACATGGTGAATGAGACCTTAATGAAATTCCTCCCCTTCAAAAGGGAAAACTCTTGCGAGCGTGGTAAAGCAAACAGCACTGCAGATTTCTATAAAGGCGTGGTGCTCAGAAGAGCATTTTACAAACATGTGGATAATGCTTAATGGTGCATTAATCAACTTGCCTGCTGCTACAAGGCAGCCACAATAAAGCAGGTAACAGGTTCAGAGCCATTTGGCAGAGCTGCGACTCCACCCTCTTTCTCTCCTGCGAGAAAGCATTCAGAATCCAAGTGGATGATGCTACCAAAAGAAGCAGACAAATATAAGAGATAGTTATGCTAATTAGTTTAATAGACTCATTCTGTAAGGTGTACATGCACCAAAACATTCACATTATGCCCCATAGATACAATGATGGCTTGCCTTGCATTTAAAGTTAAAACAGAGTGCCTGGGAAGATGGCTGGATGGGTAAAGTGCTTGCCTTGCAAGCACAAGGACCTAGATTCAGCCCCAGAACTTGTGTGAAAAAGACCTAACACTGTTGGACATGCATCTAATACCAGTGCTGGAGAAACAGAGACAGGCGGATCTCTGGGGTTTGTTGGCCAGTCAAGCTAGCCTAGTTGGTGAGTGCCAGGTAAAAGTGAGAGACCTTGTGTCAGGTAGATAGATGACAGATGGATGGATGGATGGATGGATGGATGGATGGATGGATGGATGAGAGACCCTGTCACAGGTAGATAGATAGATAGATAGATAGATAGATAGATAGATAGATAGATAGATAATAGACAGATAGATGATAGATGGATAGATAGATAGACAGACAGATAGATGAGAGACCCTGTCATAGATAGATAGATAGATAGATAGATAGATAGATAGATAATAGATAGATAGATAATAGATAGATAGATAGATAGATAGATAGATGATAGATGGAAAATAGATAGATAGATAGATAGATAGATAGATAGATAGATAGATGATAGATAGATAGATAGATAGATAGATAGATAGATAGATAGATAGATAGATGATAGATGGAAAATAGATAGACAGACAGATAGATGAGAGACCCTGTCACAGATTGATGGATGGATAGATAAGATAGATGGATGGATGGATAGATAGATGAACAGAGAGACACATGAGATACCCTATCACAGATAGATAAATGATAGATAGATAGATAGATAGATAGATAGATAGATAGATATGTAGATAGATAGATAGATAGATAGATAGATAGATAGATAGATAGATAGATAGGAGACCCAGTCACAGATAGATAGATGGATAGATAGGTAGAGAGATAGAGAGATGATAGACCAGTAAGAGAGCCTTTATGTAAAGCTACCTTCCACCAAACCTGAAAACCTGAGTTCAGTCTCCAAGTCCCACAGAATAAAGAAGAGAACTGGCTTCCACAAGTTGCCCTCTGACCTCCTCATGTATACCACGGCGTACACATACCCACTCCCACCAAAGTAATTAAAAAGTAGATAGCTTCTGAGGAATTACATACATACAGAGAGAGAGAGAGAGAGAGAGAGAGAGAGAGAGAGAGAGAGAGAGAGAGAGAGAGAGAGAGAGAGGTTTAAAAGTTATGGGGATGGTACTGAACCACTCACTGAACAAAGGCCTCACAAAGATCAGCCTGTGCTTGCTGTAAGAAAGACTGAGTCTGTCCTACAAGTGACTCTACTTCCCTTAGTGGTCTGAAAGCAACTTCCTTCTGATCTTCTAACAGTATAAGGACCTCAAAGGTCATACAGTCCAACCTCCACCCCTAAAAACATCTCCTCAGCATACACAAAACATGGAAAAGCAAGCTCCCCAGTCTTCACAGCCATATGGTGTCCATCACCTTCTGAAGCAGCAGTTCACGGCCAACTCAATGACAGGAGTTCCTGGGCTGGATACCCGCTGCCTCCTTTCAAATGCCTCATGCCTGCCCGACCCAAGTACTGCCTCTGCAGCTGCCCTGCCAGGGGTGCCCACAGCAAGGTATTGTCTGAGCTAAACTGTCCCAAACTCCTTCTGTCATCTTCCGGTACCATCTCCCAACCTTCAAGAGAGGCAGAAAAGGATGTTAATCCAGCCTTTCCAAAGTATGCTGTTTGAGTTTGCCACCTGTCACAAGTTCTCTCTCCCAAACTGGCTTCTGTGGTCAAGTAGGATGAGCAAGCTGAGGAGTATATCTCAGTGGTAGAGTGCCTGCCTAGTCCTTGTGAGGCCCTAGGTTCCGTCCTTAGTACTGCAATACCATAGCCACAGTAGTGGTAATGATAACGATAAGGTTAACAAAATTTAACAGATTACTAGTTGGTTGTATAGAGTGTGCATATTTTCCCAAACCTATCTGATAGGTTTTTCTCACCTACAGAATAAAGACAGTAATTGTATTGACCTTCCAGGGTGCCACCAGGCCCAAATGTCAGGCCGGGACGGGTATAGAGACTGATTGTCTTAAACTCCGAGGTCTGTGGTAACTTTTTCACACGGGGAGGCAGGCCTTCACAGATGAGCAGAGCTGGCAGTCTGAGGCCCTCCCTGCTGCCAGGGAGGCCTGGGAGGGGCTGCAAAGCAGGTATGGGAATGGAAGAAAGGGTTCCTGCCTCATCCACTTCAACCTATGGGGAGACAGGTAATGACCACTAGGTGGAAGCACAATGCAAGGAATGAGATTAGCACCCCCATTTCCCCAGCAGTATTCGCCTCCCAGGCAGAGGCACAACCACTGTCCATACCCCGCTTCCTCCTAATTTCCCAGCTGATCCTTGGCCGGATGAAGACTACCAAGTAGCCTGCTCCAGGGACTTTTCCTCAGTTTCTTAAATGTCTGCCGTGTTCTGGCACACAGGGCACAACTATGCATAAAGCTTGGGATGCACAGGGTCTGCAGCCTGGGACCTTCTGTCTCTTCTCTCTCCAGAGGGGGGCACCTTGTGATCAGCAATAGTTTTGGCCATGCATATGGCCCACAAGGGGGTGGAAATTCCCTCTTAGGAGTTAAAAATAACTCGAGGTTTTTTATGTGTAAATCACAAGTAGGCTGGGACTGTAGCTCAATATTGATAGAGCACTTTCCTAGCGTTGCAGAGTTCCCGGTGCAATCTTAAAAACAATGCCAGGCATGGCAGTGTATACTGGTAACCCAGTGCTGGTAGGTGCAGACAGGTGGATAGAAGGCTCACTGGCCAGCTAGTCTAGCCAGTCACTGAGTACCAGATTCAGTGAGACCTTGTTTCAAAACAGGTAAGGTAGACAGTGATAGAGGTGACGTTGGAATGTCTATTTCAGTATCAACTTCTGATACCAGGCATGGTGGTGCAGGCCTTTAATTTCTAGCACTGGGGAGGCAGAGACAGGGGCATCTCTGTGAATTCAAGGCCAGCTTGGTCTACAAAATGAGTTGTAGTCCAGCCAGGGCTACACAGAAAGACTCTGCTTCAAAAGGAAAAAACTACTATCAACTTCTGGCCTCCAAACACATACACACATCTATACACCCCATGGCAGTGCTGGAATAGTAAGACTTTCTTCCATAGGAAGGAAGTTAGAAAAAGAGGTGCCCCCTGGAGGTGGTTATGAAGACTCACTGCACTAACCAAGGACTCATCCTGGTTCCTACCCCCGACACCTGTGCCTACCAAGCACCCCCAAATGACTCTAATGTTGGCGGGAAGGAGAACTTTCCCAGCCCCCTTCTCGTAAGCCTGCGGACTCTTTCTCTATCCCTGCTCTCCTGCTGCAGGTGGGTTTTCCTGCACGAGAAGGCCTACCAAGTGCGAGACACCGCCATTGAGTCTTCAGTAGTAACAAAGGTGAAAGGCTTCGGACGTTATGCCAACAGAGTCATGGACGTGTCCGATTATGTGACCCCACCCCAGGTATGGTGCCCTACCCTAGGGACATGTGCATGCCCACATCTGGGGAGAGTGGGGACAGAGGGGCAGGCATCCTGAACCAGCGGCTCCAGTACTGTTGGGGGAACAAGAACCTGCCCTCCAAAGTGCAGAACTGGACATGAAGAAGCTGGGCTTCCCCACCACCAGACCCTGTTGTGCTCGTGCTTCCGTGGAGAACAATACAGAAAGAGAGCAAGAGGGGCCATCAGGTGGTTAGAAGAAGTTGGTTTGAATGCCAGCTGTGCTCCCTTGTTAGCCCCGCCACCTTGGCCAAAGCACAGGCAGACTGGGGCTTCCTGCTCTGTAGAGCAGAAATCACTTCCTGCCCTGCAGATTGGGATGGGGCTCTTTTCGTCTCCCCTTTCCTCCCAAGGGTACCTCTGTCTTTGTCATCATCACCAAGATGATCGTTACTGAAAATCAAATGCAAGGATTCTGTCCCGAGGTGAGTGGAACAGGTCAAGGCAGCACATGGGCAGGTGGTGTGAACAGAGGCCCACCGGCTAGCCTTGGAGCTGTGACTGGACCTGCCACCCACCAGAAGCCACCGCTCCGGGAACTCGTGGGAGGCAATGGGAGCTATTGGGTTGACCAGGGCCGAGGGAGGGTCCCTCATACACCTGTGACCCTGTCCCCCGACAGAACGAGGAGAAGTACCGCTGTGTGTCCGACAGCCAGTGTGGTCCTGAGCGCTTCCCGGGTGGGGGTGAGTGTAGCCCTTTCCTCCCCCCCCCCAACTCCAAGCCTTCATGGGACTCTAAAAGGCAGTGAATTCTTCATGGGGATAGCCCGTTTCAGGAAAGGGGTCCAGCCTGTTCTACGGAATTCTGCCAGTGTTAGAAGAGGTTTGCTGGGTGCCAGAAGCAGACAGGGCTGTGGAGGTGCATGGCTCCTGCCCCAAGCGTTCAGTCTAGGTATTGCAGTGGTAGGGTGGAATAGTAAGTGGTACTAAGGAAACACAAAGGAGGGGGGGGACGGGAGGGGGGGGGGACGACACAAGGATGGTTCTAAGAGGTGGTTCCAAAGGCCTCCTGGAGGTAACCTGAAGATGAGGAAGATCTGGTCAGATGGAGGGAGCTTCCTGAAGGGCGTTCTAGGCAGAAGGGATAGCTCAGATGAAGAGACAAGGAAGAAGAGTTCCGGGTTGTTAAGGACACACACAGCAGATTGGCTTGCCTTGCTCACCCGCCAAGGGCCCTGGTGAGGAGGGGGATGGGAGTGACAAGGGGCAGGATGCCACCTGGTCATGCGGCTCCACCCTCCAGGGATCCTCACGGGCCGCTGTGTGAACTACAGCTCTGTTCGCCGGACCTGTGAGATCCAGGGCTGGTGCCCCACCGAAGTGGACACCGTGGAGATGTAAGGCTCTGAGCATCCCCAAGCATAGGAAGGGTTTTGTGTGTCCCCGACTAATGTTCATTCTGGGAGTAGAAATGTTATCTCAGGGTGTCATCTCCCTTGCCCTGCCTCTGCCTCTCACCCTCGCTCCCATAGGCCCTTGGTTCATAAGATGTCTCCTTTCAAGAGCAACCCACACCCAAAAAAAAAATATTGCTGAGAAAAGCCCCCCCCCCCCGTCTGCCCTCTCCTGGAGAGCTGAGTCTCCATTCTCACGCACAGGCCTATCATGATGGAAGCTGAGAACTTCACCATTTTCATCAAGAACAGCATCCGTTTCCCTCTCTTCAACTTCGAGAAGTGAGTCCTCAATTCCTCCCTCCCTCCCTCAGTCTGCCGTAGAGGTCCCCCACTGTCTCCCCATCTCCTCATCTCCCTGGAGCTCCTATCCCAAATGTCACGTAGCCAACGTCTCCGCCAGTTTCCCGGCCTTAGAACTCTGAACCCACACAGGAGTTCTGCTTGGAGCTGGGAAAAGACAACATAACCTGGCTGTGGACACCGAGGCCTCCTGCGGTCGGAGTCTGAAGTGTCTGTCACTTTATTTCTTCCCACCTACAGCCCTCAAGTGGAGGTTGTTGTTTTGGGCGTGGTTTGGTTTGCCCTCACTACATTGACTCAGACGGTCAACAACTGCCTAGCGGTAACCAGCCATGTGCAAAGCACCCTGCCAGGCCCTGTGGAGATACACAGAGCAATTGGGAGAGACTCTGCTCACCAGGAGCCCGGTCTGGTAGTTTGGAGACACTGGCCGGACATTCATGGCCCTATCATTCGATGGAACATGATGAGGGTTACAAAACCGTGCAGGGAAAGAGGATGTGTAGATGGGGAGTGACGGAGAAATGGTGCAAGTAGATGTCCCCACCTGGGTGTGGAGGGCTGGAAGCATCCAGAAGACTGGAGAAAACTTAGGCATAGCTGTCTTTACTTTAATTCTGGGCCTCGTCTCTCTCCTCTTTCCTTCCCAGGGGAAACCTCCTGCCCAACTTGACAGCCAAGGACATAAAGACCTGCCGCTTCCACCCTGAAAGGGCCCCATTTTGCCCTATCTTGAGGGTAGGGGATGTGGTTAAGTTCGCTGGGCAAGATTTTGCCAAGCTGGCCCGCACGGTAAGAGCCTGTCTCTTCTCCATGACCCCCTACCTACCTGGAAAGCTCAGCCCTCCCATAGATTTCAGGGACAGCCACTGGCATGCTGGACAGGAGCCACAGCAAGACAGTGCCACCTGGTGGAAACATCCCAAACATGCAGATCCCTGAATCCATTCCTATCCTGAATCCCATCCATCTCTCCCCCCAGAAATCTCGCCTCTACTTCCTCAAGCCTCAGTTTCCCCTTCCTACCATCCCATTTCACCTCAGAAGAGGCCTTAGGTCTCTTAAAAGTGCCACAACACAGGAAAGTGGTCTGCAGCAGGTCTCTCTCCTGAGTTGTATCTCAGGGACTTGGAGGCTCCAGGCTCTTCCCCAAGGACACCCCCTCCCTACCAGTGACCTTCTTTCCTCCCTGCCACCTCCCGTGTAGGGAAGGGAATGAAACCACTCATCACAAATCCTCAGCCCTGACTGAGCACAGAGGAGAGCTCATATCTGGCCCTTTCTTCAGGGTGGAGTTCTGGGCATTAAGATCGGCTGGGTGTGCGATCTGGACAAGGCCTGGGACCAGTGTATACCCAAATATTCCTTCACTCGGCTGGATGGAGTTTCTGAGAAAAGCAGCGTCTCCCCTGGCTACAACTTCAGGTAAACCTCGCTGTCTGAGCAGGGGCAGAGGCCACAGGCAGCTCCAGAGACATTCATCTCAAGCGAAAACACACATTTGGAAGGGTTTCAGTCAAGCTTGGGGAGGACTTCCTGACAGTTAGCCATCCCTGACTGGTGAATTGTGCTATGAGGTATGGATTCCTGTCATTAAAAGGGGTCCGGGGTTTGGGAATTTAACTCAGTGGTAGAGCGCTTGCCTAGCAAGCTCAAGGCCCTGGGTTCAGTCCTCAACTCCGGAAAAAAAAAAGAGGTGGGGGGGTCTGACCCCCTTGGATCTGCTAAGGACAGTAGTTACACCAGATGGCCAAAGTCTCCTGAAGTACTCGATTCTGTAATTCCTTGCCTGTTTTTGGCTCTGTTCCTGAAGCTATAATGTGCCTCGTTCATGTCCAACTAGCCCTCTTCCCGGCCCTGTGCCTGAATTTTCTAAGATTCTTATTCCCACAAAGTAAGCACAATATCTGGCATTGTTTCTTTTTCCAAAATGGTAAATTGACATTTCTTTCTAAAACCAGGAAATCCCATGATTCACAGTCAGCAACTATAATGATCACTAGTTCTTTCATGCTTTTCTGGGGGAAAAAAATGTTTTTTTAAATATCATCTCATTGATATTCCAAATAGCTTTGAGGCTTAAAGGATTTCTACTTTGGGGAGTTTTTCCATTTGGCAAAGGGGAAAGAGGAGAGGCAGAGGGTGATGAGCTGGGGTCTGGAACAAGTCCTTAACCCCTTCCTTGACATGGCCCTGTCTGTGAAAAGCTGGTAGCATTGGCAGGGTGCTTATTCACCGAGGGGCCCACTGGCCAGTGAGTGGAGTGCTTTGGCTTTCTCTCTCTGTCTCTGTCTCTGTCTCTCTCTGTCTCTGTCTCTCTCTCTCTGTCTCTGTCTCTCTGTCTCTCTCTCTCTCTCTCTCTCTCTCTCGTGTGTGTGTGTGTGTGTGTGTGTGTGTGTGTGTGTGTGTGTGCGCGTGCGCGCGCGCGCGCATGTGCACTTACAAAGGTCGAAGAACAAGCTTCGTTTATTCTTTGCTTTGTCTGCGGCAGGATCCTGCACGTCAGGATAGCTGGCCTGTGCACTTGTGGTGATTTTCCTGACTCGGCTTCCGGTACTACCGATCCCTGTGTCACTGCCTCTGGCTTTTACGTGTGTTCTGGGGATCTGAACTCAGGTCTCGGGCCTACACACTGAGCACTTTTGCCAAATGAGCTATCTCCTCAGTCCTTCCCTTAATTTCTGAAAATTCCCAAACTCCCAGAAGGACGCTGATTAAGTCCACAATGTTACATGCTAAAAGAGCGAAGAAAACTAAATCGGCAGTGATGGGAGGGAGCAGAGTACATAGAAGAGTGTGTTTGTTCCACATCTGAAGAGTCGTCACTCAAGCCTCCCTTGTTGTAGTAGTCTCTGGTGTGATGCTGCATGATGTGTGTATTGGTTATTCTCTTTGCTCCTGTGGAAACATTCCAGAAGAAAGCAATTTGAAGCAGGAAGGTTTGTTTTGGGACAGTTTGAGGATACAGTCCATTGTGACGGGGAGTCATGGCAACATGAGCATTAGGTGGCTGGTCACATGGCATCCTCGGTCAAAAAACAGGGAGAGATGCTCCACCCACTTTCTGCTCATTTGTGGGATTGTGCCACCACATCCGGGGTGGGTCTTCCCACCTAAATTAAACCCTCCCTCACACAGGGCTAGAGGTTTGCCTCCTAGGTAAATCTAAGTTCTGCCAAGTTGATAATCAAGATTAACTATCAGAAGGCTTCGTTTCATCAGCTTGACAACCAAGCATATCATTTTTAAATCAAAGCATTCCATCCCTGATCCCTAAAATTTCATGTTCATTTTGTAATGCAAAATACATCTAGTTTATCTCTAAAAGTCTCCAGTATCTCAACAGTTCCAAAAATTCAGAAGTGTAAATGCATTTTCTTGTGAGATTTGGGAAATCTCTTATCTGTGAGCACCTATAAAAGTCAAGCCTACAAGTCATATACTTCTTGTATACAATATCATGAAGAAAACATTCTCATTCCAAAAAAGGATGATTGAGAAGAAAGAAAGCAAGACTCAGCCAAGATCTGATCGACTGGATCACAGCAGGGCGAACACCAAATCCTGTACTTCCATGTCCGGCTTCTGGGGCTCTTGACGGCATTGGGTAGGCCGCATCTCCCTTGGGTAGCTGTAGTCCTCTGGTTCTCCTGCCTACTGTACGCATAGACTCTCTCTTGGGCCAGCTCTACTTCACGCCTGCAGTTCTTCTTGGAAAACATTCCATTACTAGCATCTCCAGTATCCTGGGGTCTCCATTGCAAGTCAGGCTTCACCTTCTCAGCTTCATGCCATGGCCTCTTAATGCCTCCTCACAGGGAGTCTGACCTCACCCAACTACATACTGCCTGGCTTCGCTGCCCGCTTCTGGGACTCCTTCATTCTTGTATCCTCCATGCCTGCAAAGCAGTGCCACATGGAAAATGCTGCCAAGTTGTGCTGCCAGATCAAGATGTAGCATAACCCCCTCAGACAACAGTTACCGCAACCTTTGTGTGCCTTTGAGGCCGACCCTGGGAAAACACTTTCCTATGTGGCCACTGGGGGCAAAGAATACCTGTCCTCTGGTTCTGGTGCTAGCATCCTTAATGTAGGCTTTCTCTTTTTCAAGTGAATTTGCATTTTCACAAGTGGGAGCTTTCTGTGAGTGGGGCCTTGCCCTGAGGGTACCTTTCCTGTTGTCCTCGAGTTCCGGTTCCCTTGAATGACATTGATTTCTTCATCAACTGCAGCTGCTTTCTCTACATCCACTTGAAACTTGCTTGTACTCCTTTCTCCCCGTGCTGTGCGCTTCATGTGTTCTGCTGTCCGTGCTGCCCTTTTCCCGCTGTAGACCTGCCGCAAAGGGGCCCGTCACTCTCTTCTTGTGTCATTCTAGGGCTTCTCTAGTCTGGAGCCCAAACTCCAGCCAACTAGTTCCAAAGGCCTGCAAACCCACGTGATTGTGTTTATCACAGCAGTAACCCTGCTCCCGGTACCAATTGTTTGCATTAATTACTTTTCTAACTTCTGTAATGCAATACCCAACAAAAGCAATTGAGGAAGGAAAGATTTGCTTTGGCTCATGGTTTTGAGGGCATAATCCTTAGTGGCAAGAAGGCGTGGCAGCAGGAGTGTGAGGGGACAGGCCACTGTTGCATCCTCAGTCAGCAAGCAGAGAGAGGTGAATGCTGGTTCCACTTCCTTTCTCCTTTGTACTTGGTGGGTACTCCAGCCTATGGAATGGTACTGTCTACCTCCAGGGTTGGTCTTCACCCGTCAGTGAAATCTCTTTGGAAGAGTCCTCAAAGGCATGCCCATAAGTCGGTGTCCTGGGTGTTCTAAATCAAATCAAATTGACATTCAAGATTAACCATAATAATCCACTTTCTTTTTCACCTTACTTTGCAACTTTAAAAAATAATGGCCCATCCCATTAAGCTTTACATTTGATAGTTTAAAATATATATATGTATGTTCTCTGGAAAGAAGAATTTTTAAAAATTGAAATTGCTTTCATAATCAACTCCAGAGTTTAAAAAACCATAGGAAACAACACATATTTTAAAGTAGGTTAAAAATACTGTTTGGCTCACTGGAAGAAATTGGCATATTTATTCAGTCAGTTCATCACACTGAGATCAATACAAAGGATATTTGTATGGTAGCTTAAAAATAGTAATATATTTTAATAAAATTCTCAATCTAAAGTACAAGTTTTCATACTAGAACTCCCCTTGGGCCATTAGAAAGTCTTCAGTCCTCCAAATGACTCATTTGACAGAAATGCTTGTGAAGACCATGTCTGCTATGAAGACCCCAACTACGGGTATCATACAGTTTAGAATAGTACCTTTCATTTGAGGAAGAACTTCTTTGGAGTTCTGTATCTCCTGTTGATTATGCAGTGACTGTGCCCTATCTAGGCACAATAGGACTGGAGATACACTTAGTTCAAAATAAGCTTTGGTTGAGGGTATGAATGTAGCTCAGTTGGTAGAGTGTATGCCTAACATGCAAGAAGCCTGAGTCCCAGCCCCAGCTCAAGAAACCACGCAAAACCTAAAACCAGGAATGGTGGCACTTGCTTGTAACTTCAGCACTCAGGAGGTAGAAGCAGGAGGGTCAGTTCATGGTCATCCCTGGCTACATGGGGAATTCAAGGTCAGTCTGGGCTATCTGAGCCCCTGTCTCAAAATAAATAAATTAGCTTAGATTGTTGATTTGGCCAAAACTGGAAAGAGAACCTCCAAGGACTCTTCCAGTGTCATATTCAGGATCTAGGGGAGCCACCTGAGAGGTATCGGCTCCTCTAAGGAGCCTGAATAACTTACTCTTGTAATAGAGCCAGAAGTACAAGGCAGGCAAAACTGCCCTGTTGGACCCTGGGTAAAGTTCTCAGAGAGCCCAAAGAAAACTGCCATCGGGAGACAGATGACATCCGTGCCAAGCAGGGTACTGCCTAAGTTCTGTCACATCTCTCCACCTGGTCCCCACTACCCTCTCATACAGCAGTAGATATCCTGACACTCCAGGCCAAACTGATAGTGTGGCGGGGAGGCCACAAAATCATCTTTCTGAATGCTCGGATAAGAGAAGAGGGCACACACCGTGGTTTCTATGACATGGTGATTTCATGCTGTTGTTTCAATCTCACAAAGCTACTTAGCAGTAGGACTGACCCTCATTACCCCATGTGCATAACATTCTGTGTTTTGTCTATTCCGTACCCATTCTAGAAGGTCGGTGCTACAATCCTTCCACTGTCTTGACGAGAAAAGGCAGGCTCATTGAGTTCACTCTGCCACTGTCACACATCTAGTACACGCGGGTCCTGGATGTGAATACATTTTCTTGAATGATATCTACCACAACCAGGAAAGCTAGGGACATTCACGCTTGTTAATTTTCAGTATCGCATGCATGGGTGGTTGATACTTTCCACC